CACTTTGCATAATTTAGCAATGGATGAATCTGAGTGATACTGATCAAGGTTGCTCTCTATTTTTTTTTTCTCTCCCCACCTCTCTGCTTATCCCAGAGATAAGTATTATGTGTCATGAAGGCATAATAGTATTGTATCAGCTGATGGCAAAGCGTCACTGGACTTCTTATATAAATTCATATTTCTGCTTTTGTAAACTTCTTTAGACCCAGTCAGTCTGTCAGGCTGCTACGCAGACCGGGGATAATTTAAACCAGAAAAAGTTCTCAAACAATTAGAGAAGAAACAGCAAGTGGACAGCAGAGGTGGAAGAGCAGAAGGATAAAGGTAAAAATAAATTTTTTTAGATCAAGGCGCTTTTTTTGTTGTTGTTGGCTTGTTTTTATTACCAGCCTCAGAATTTATTCAAGGTGGGACATCTGTTTAGGCAATGAGGGGAAAATTATCATTAGTAATAGTGTCAAACTGAGCTGGGCTCAAGGTAGCAAAGGTGTGGTTGGGGAAGAAAGTACATTTTCCTGCTTTGTGAATGTTGCTGAGAGATCAGGCTCCTTGCTGGGGTTTTGGAAGTAAATGGGAAGAGGAATGAGAGAAACAAAAAGACTGTCAGAGCTACCCTAAATTAGATCTTGTTGAAATTCTAGTGAGTGTGGGAGACGGTGCCAGTGGGAGGAGTGTTAAGAGTGCTTACTGGAGTCAGTGAAGTAAAAGTATTCCATGCAGCATGGTTCAGAATTAGTGGTACAGGAAAATAAATACAGTGGTACAGAGAGAGGGGTGAAGCTGGTGTACAGAGGAGTTGAAAAAACCCAAACACCTCTGTTTACAGCAGAAAGAGCTGTACATGGTCAACATTTGTTTGGGTTTTCTCCCTTTCCCCCCAGTCTGTTATAACAATCTTTAGCTTCTTTTCATTGACACTAAGCTTTTCTTCTCCTGTGAGAAAATGGAACGTGCCAGTAACAGATGAAAGCTGTAGCTGTCAGGTGGTAGTTAGTAAATCTTTGCTAAATGCAACTGATAATATTTTTTTAAAATTATTTTATTTTTTGTCCTATCAGCTTTGCAATAACTAAAGGCCAAATTTGGTCTTGGCTTCTTCCTTTTTTTTTTTTTTTTTTCCTGACTAAATAAAATTCAAACTCTGTAGCCTCCTCTTAGAAGCTGTTCCTTCCCTCTGTTTTTTTTTATTGTTGTTGTTCCCTTGTCTCTGGTAATAGCAGAGGCACAATATCTTGTACCATATTATTTATGGTACTTGTGCTCCTTAGTCCCTCTTACAACATGTTAAGTCTCACGGGGACTGATGTTACCTATTTTTCATTCTCCAAAAATCTGAAAACTTGTTTCATCAGCAATGTCAGAAACAATGCCCAGGAAGAGAAAGCTCTTTATTACAATGTCATGATAGATTTTGCTGAAGTGCATGTACAGCTTTCTCTGGGTTGTTTTTTTTGTGACTCTCTGGATTGCATTGCCTCTCCTGAAACTAGGTTTAGGGCATAGATTGTACTTCTTTCTGAATATTTAGAGATTCCTATTGATGCTTATAATCAATATTATTTGAATTTACATTGTTGAGTGTGATGGTGCATGTAACTAAGCTTAAAAAAAGTACATATCTATTTAGCTGCTACTATTAAACTTTTATGTGCGTGAACTTAATTGACAAGCAGTAGTAGCCAGATTTGAACATAAGCTAGAATGTGAAGAACTTGTACAAATCTTAATATATGAAAGTTATGCCATGACTGTTTTTCAGCACCGTCTCCCCCACAAAGTGTTTTCTAGTGCTTGAGAAATTCAACTTTCTGCATCAGTATGAAAACTTTCTAGATTTGTTGAACCACTGAAGCCTTCTACACTCATCTGTCTTAATCTGTTATAAGTAGACAAGACTAAGCTTCTCTTAACACTTGAATATGGAAATGCAGATCAAAACATTCTCACTTTAAGCAAAGTACAAACTTAATTTTTTTTTTCACTGGGAGGGATTTAGGGTGAATGATACGTGTTTAAAGAGACGGCTACATTTCTGTCCTGCTTCCCTCACACATCACCAAAATGGTGACCAAACACCAGTAAAGAACTCCTGTAGAGCTTTGAAAACCCGGGTTGAAGAAGGTTGTGTTACTGCCCTAACTACTGTTTGTTTTAGGATGCTTTGATCTTTGATAAAAATTGAAGTTTTAAGTTTTCTGAACTTATATTTGCTGAGGTAGGCTTTGTTTTGAAGATTTAACTTTGGAAAGACAAACTTTAACTGGCTTAAGTTATGATAGCCATAAGTGGTGTAATGGTTCATTTACTAGGTTATGTCTTGGTGTTACAGAGTCAAATTCCAGGCAGATCCACTTAAGTCAGAAGCTTGATCCAAATTCATCTGAGGTAATCTTAAAGAAAAGACCAAATTTTTTTTTTTAAATGTTATTGCTTCTCTGATACATGATTAGCAGAGCACTAGCTGCCTTTAGAGCTGTGGCTGCTGCTGCTTTACAGCTTGTAGTGAAACACTTCTAAGGCTGGAGGCTTGTGTTGCTGTCAGCTTTCCTGTAACTCGTACTTAACAGTCTTTCTCTGCAATCTGAGTTCTCAAATCTGGGCTGTAGAGAACACTTATTAATCTGGATTTGTAATTGCTTAGTACAGTCTGTACTTGCAGTATGTTGGGACTACAGAAGATTTGATATTTACTAATAGCTGCTGTGCTAGCAGACCACCATCTCTGAAGTTCAGCGAAGATTTGTGGCCTCTTGTTGGCTTTTAACCTTTGCTGTCCTTTGAATGAGCAAAATGTTACACTAGTATAAAAGTGATTGGGTGCTTAGCCCACTTTGTATGTAGTGTGGTTTAGTATCTTTGAATGCCTCTTTGAAAAGTAAATCTCACCGTTGGACTAGCCATGTCTGTTGTTTCTAACTTTGCTTTAGAAGAATAGTCAAGATGAGAGTTATCCAAAAGCTTCATCTCCTTTGGAACAAGTAAAAACAGATTCTCCAGTTCTTGCTGAGCAAGTAAGAAATGTTTGTTTGATTTCAAAGTTTTCCGGTCAGGAGACTTCAGACAAAGGGGAGCTTCATCACAGCCACGTATGTATTAGAATACTGGCTTTTAATTACATAGTCATTCCTATGGTGATAATGCTTACAGTTAGAAGCCTGTTACATCCAACACAAAGACTGTAGAAGGACAACCCTTGATAAAAAAGTAAAAGTATGTCCTTTCTCTTCTGAGAAGGGTTAATTCATATCTTTCTGCTAAGATAATTGTGCTTTTCAAGTTAAATTCTTCACTTTTGCTTTTTCAAGTTTCTCCAAGGTTATGGATAATCATTTGTGAGAGTGGCTTTTTAATTTTTTCGGATGGGAGAGACTAAATGTAATGCTTGTGGAGGTGGTTATAACACTGCTGGCTGGCTGTGCTACAGGCGTGTTCTGGGTAGAGCTCAGAGCAGAGCTCTTCACACAGTGATGTAACTTATCACACATCTCTTATCTACACAGCCTGTCGCAGTGGCTGTGGTGGTAGTCTGAACAATAACGAGTCATCAAACCTTTTTTGGGTAGAATTCAGACACTTTAGGGGTCCCCAACAACGGTGATTTAGAATAATTTTGTGTGATCTCTTTGTTCTAGAACCTGGCAGAATGCTTACCGAGCGTCACTCCAACACCCTCACCAGTTTTTTCTGAGGTGCATTTACCTCCAGCAGTGCCTTCTGTACCAGCCATCGTGCCAGCTTGGCCAAGTGAGCCAACAACCTATGGACCAGCAGGTTTGAAGAAATACTAATGTCAATCGGAAAGTACTAACCCCCAAAAATACTTCAACAGCCTTGCTAAATTGAAGATGCCTCCAGGAGACACAGTTTCCTATAACTTCACATTCCAAAGGGAGTCATTTATGGGAATGTAGTTTCTCACTGCTGAAAGCCAGTGAGAGCTCTGGTAGATCTTTGATTGCCCATTTGTATAGTTTGCTTTACCCTGTACCTCAAGGTGGAAGAGGGATGTGTATCCAACTCTGTTTTTCTCCTGAGTGGTGTAGTGTTGAGTTCTGAGGGGACTTATTCTGAGGATCTGCTCAAGGTAGAACCCATTGTCAGCGTGTTGAAGTGTTTGTGCTCTGTGTCCCCTGTAATAAGCTCTTTGATTCACCCAGGACTCAGCTTGGGTCTGGAATGTCTGGAACTAATGAGATCCAGTTGGACCCAGCTGCAGAGCCAGTATAAACCTTTTCCTGTTCTGTGTATATCTTCTGATATGTGGAATTAGCTTAGATTCAGTATTGCTCGTTAGATCAAGTGCTATATTTTTTCTCCTGCTGTTGTATTTCTGTACAAGAACCAGCTTTGGAGTCAGACCTGGCTCTAAATAACCAGAGTCAGAAGAAGAACTGCAGAGTCACATAAAAGTTTGTTTCCCACCCCCCCCTTTTTTCTTCCCATTTCCTATTTCCTTCTGGTATTCATAATTTTAAAAATAAATAAGGGAAGAGTTTATGGAAAGCTTAACTATTTCACTCTTTCTGAAGACTGTTCTCTGCATTTAGCCAAATCTTCTTTTATTTGTAACTTTCCAACTTCAGAATTTTCTCCTATGTCTTTCTGAATACAGTTGAGCTACGTTACAATGGTGTGGTTTTTTTTTTCCTTTGTAGGTATTCCACCCCAAATACCTGCTTCTTCATTGATGCCAGCCCCAGCAACGGGACCTGACTCTCTTGTATCACAGGCTCAGGTAACATCTGCTCCAGTTGCTGGAGTTCCCGTGTCTCTACAAGCAGTTAACCAGCCTTTAATGCCTTTGCCTCAGACTCTGAATCCTTATCAGGATCCTCTGTACCCTGGATTCCCTTTCAGTGAAAAGGGAGAAAGAGCTGTTGCACCCTCTTACTCCCTGTGCAATACTGGGGAAGACTTACCTAAAGGTGAGAAGCTAGAGGGAGGTCTGGATTTTATACCTCTTTTTTTTTTTTTTTTTTTTTCCTAATGGGTTTTTT